ACGACCGCCAGCATTATGGTCATCAATCATGTCGATGGTGACGATTTTTCCGTCACATTAGCTTGGGTAGGCGACTCGCAAATAATGGAGATAGATGTGCTTCTACGCGTGCCGTGTCCGATCAACGTCCAGCTGGATCTCCATGAATTCTCTGATACTCTCAGATGACCGCGTCGGCTGCGAACGTTACGTATATGACATCCGCGCATAACTGTGATAACGTTGTGCCGTGATAAGAGTGACATCTAAATGTCAGCTGCGGATACCTCTAGGCACAAATGCGGCAGAGATTGATCGGATTCAGCACCAGTGGCGAGCACGCGAGCTTTTCGCCACTATGGATCCTGACTTAGCCCAAAGTCAGTTCGGATTACTGACAAGGCGTGCTTTTGCATATGAAAAGAAGCTGCGGTCAGTGTCCCGCAAGCTTCGGTCGGTGGTGAGTTCAAACTTCCGCATCACTGTTTTGGTACAGCTCGATAAAAGCTAAATTATTTCTATTAATTTTTACGCAATACTAGAGATGGATAAAAGAATTGTTCCAGGCTCGATGCGACATATGACCGTATTTTTGCGGCGAGAGCGAAGTCAAAGCCCTCTTTGCTAGAGCGAGCTCCGAGCCACCTTGGGCCCCGTAGATCAGACAAGGGTGAGCCAGGTGCTCTTGCCCTACATGCACGATGGTTTCAGCTCCCAGGCAAGAGTGTTGTTCATGGTGCATCAACTTGTGTGACGCGGTCCATCGGTGATTGGGACTCTTCTCGGGCACTCATCCCCCACCCAGAGATTGTTCGTCGTATTGTCAAGCGGGGCCCAAACCTGTGTAAAGACCAGAACAGCCCACACCACACAGACACGAGCTACGCATGTAGGCGACGCACGGCGATTCATTCTTGCATCAGACGGCCTCTGGGAGACACTGAATCTCAAAGTTATTGCCAAACTTGCCTTCATGCACGGACATGATCCCAAGAAGTGTGCATCAACTTTGCTGAAGTGTGTCCGCCTTGAGTGCGCCAAGCTGAATGGCGTCCGCGAACACCCTTTCAAGGACGACACGACAATTGCCGTCGTGGACATCATCCCCGAACCTAGCCCGCCTGCGCCTTTCGCCAGTGTTGCCCATAGGAGGCTGCTTT